TGGAGCAGTGTCTCTCCCCCATCAAACCTGGGGGGCTAGAACTCCACCCTGACCCTACAACATTCCCCCAGTATTTGAGCCCCATCTCCCAGGGCAGACCACCTTCCATTGCCAGTTCACTACCATGCAACTATACCCCTAGACTAAGCAGAGGTCTAGGTGGAAGGCAGTATGGGCTCCCCAAGGCAGCCTGTAGAGAAACTGGAGTCCTGAGAGATGGCAGCTGAGGGTACCACCCACGAGTAGTGCCTCCCACCACCCTGTTCATCATCCTAGCCTTCTGGCAGATCTCCATGCAGTATGCCTGATCCCAGGCATAGCCCATATCAGCCACCAGCTCACACTGACCTTCAGCTGTGACCAGACACTCTGGTGTGTGACCATGACAGCTCCTGAAAGGCATAATGGACTGTCACCTAGGCATCACCTGACCCTGTACACAGCAGGTGCCTTAGCCTCCTGCTCCGTCTGCCTTGTACTTTGGGGTTGGCCTCAGGCTGAGTGCCACATGGTGCTGGGTGCCTACCAAATGTGCTTGTCCAGGTCCACAAAAGTGGGTGCCAACAAGCCTCTCTGCCCACCATCCCTCTAGCCCTGCAGTTCTATGAGGCAGATGGCAGAGTGGCTAGTGACATCCTTGGTGGAGACGGAGGCTGTGTCCCTGCAGGGGCTGTACTGTGTCCAGAATCCCTTCTCCTGCCAGGTTGGCAGGAACCTTCCCCGTCTTGGCAGGGTTACTGGTTATCCCAATGGAGTGAGTCTGTGCACTTAAAATTGAATATACGCTTGGGATGGGGCTTAGCTGGTAGAGTGCTTGCCAAGCATGCACAATGCCCTGGGTTCAATACCCAGCACCATGTAAACCATGTGTGGTGGTGTACAACTATAATCTCAGCACTTAAGAGGTGGAGGATGCAGGATTAGGAGTTCAACGTCATCTAATTTAAGGTCAGATTGGGTTAACTGAGACTCTGTCTCAAAAAAAATTGAATATAATTGTTTTCTCTCCACTCAGGACAGTGCCAGTGCTGCCTGAAGCCCACAGCTGGGGAGGCTCCTTCCAACAGTCAGGGACGTCACCAACATCCCAAAGAACAGACAGGACTGTGACTTCCTGCGTGGGGCACTTTCCCACCATTTCCACCACAAACATCAGCATTACAGGAAACAGAGGGTTCCCTGTCCATAAGTGGCCCAGCTCTTCACAGGAGCTGGACACCACAGAGCTCCCTGCCATCTCCTAGTCCCCTCATCCACCAGACTGAAGGTGTCCTGCAAAGGCCAGCAACAGGGGCCACTGTCCACTGGCCATCTTCTCAGCTTGTCAAAGGCAATGAACAAGCAGGCACCCAACAAGGCCTCTGCCCTAAGACTTGCTGCCAGTGTGGGGGCAGATGCCTGCACCTGGCAGGACCTTCCTTTGGGACAGCATAGGGCAGCTGTGGCTGCCATGGTGACAGCCAAGGCAGAGCAGAGCCAGGGTGGCCCCTCTTCCTTCCCAGCTGGAACAACAGGCAGAGCTTGGACCCTGCTCCTCTTCCAGCTCAGGGCCTCTGCTCAGCTGGGAACCCACCTAGGGTCAGCACAGGCCACGTAGGTGGGAACTAAGGGACCCAGACCCACACACCTCTGGATCACCCTGCATGCCCCAGTGAGAATCTGAGGTCCCCAGGAAGGCGGACTTTCCCAGGTCCCACAGTGTCTGGGTGGCAGGCATCGCTCCAGAGCAATCCCCATCTTATCCACCTTATAGATACTGACCAGACCATGCAGGGAGCAGCTGAAGGCTTCTGCTGTGCCTTATGCTGGGAAAGGGTGGGGAAGGAAAGGACACCTGCCTGGGACCACCACAGGAAGGACCTTGGCCTGGCCAGCACATGTATGGGAGGAGCTGATCACACAGCTGAGGCCTGGCTAGCAGGTGGACATCCCTGACATGGCCAGTACCTGACTATAGCAGGCCAGAGAAAGGTCCTTACCTTGCTGAGGCGCTCGGCCCCAGTTAGACTAGCCCTTGGGCCAGAGTGGCCACCTAGGACAGTGAGTAGTCCCTGAGCTTGGGACGGGAGGGAAGAGGAGAAAGCCAGGCTTCACTGACTTCCCTCCACCCCAAGGGACTTCAACTTCCATTAAGGGAAGAGCTTTGCTGGCAGAGACCCAGCTGACGATGTAGCCTCAGAGGCCTGATACAGGGTCTCAGGGGCTGCTGAGCCCCCACTCCCTCACTGCCAGCACCCAAAACCCACCTAGCCATTTAACCTTGTTCAAGGGCCATGAAAGTACTTCCCTGAGATATTCCCAGTCCTAAACTGACACTCACTACCCTGTGTACACCTCAGAAGCAGGTTGGACAACTATGCTCAACAGAGCTGAGCATCGCTGTCCAGCAAGAGCCTGTTCACTGAAGCGGGGCAAGGGTCCCTCAGGTTAGCTCCAACAGGAAGACAAGGCAGTAGGAAGACCAAGGCAGGGTCTGGGTTCTGTCTGTTGGTCTCACATTTTTAGTGGAAAATGGGGATCAAAGCCTCTCCTGTTACAAGGGCCTGGCAAAGGTGACAGGGTCCCAGGTAAGGGGGTTCTGGCCCCTTCCATCAACAGGAAGGCAGTTTAGTTCACAGATGCCAGGGCCAAGGTGGAATGACCATCATACTGACCAGCCCAGACGGACTCTGCCAAGCCCAGCACAGACATCTCTGGGAAAAGCCACGCCGCTCACAGTCCCCTTCCCGTGGTGTCTTCTAGCCCCTTCGGGGTAGGTGGGATCTGGCTCCTGCTCTGGTCACAGGTCTCAGACCCACTGGGAATCAAGCTGTGGTGAGGAGCTGTGGGGTGCTAAGATCCCCATTTGCAAGATGAGAGGTACAAGTGGGTTACAGAAGGAAACCAAGGCTTTCAGCTACGAGTCCCCAGGTGCCCCAGTTCTTCCCCAGAGGTCAATGAGATGTGCCCACTTTTCAGCAGGTGGGCCCTCGGCCCTGCAGGCAGGTGTCCAAATCAGGAGGTCAGTGAATGGAGACACAGGGCCTGCAGCCACAGCCTTAGCCTCCCTGGACTAAACACCACCCAGTAGCCACCCAACCCCACACCCCTGCCCCCACCCCCCCATCTACCACCTATACTGCCCACCACCATCATAGCAACCTATGGCTATGAGGTCTGGTCATACTGTCACACTTATCCCTGTCACATCACCCAGTAGCCACCCAACCCCACACCCCTGCCCCCTAACCCCCATCTACCACCTATACTGCCCACCACCATCATAGCAACCTATGGCTATGAGGTCTGGTCATACTGTCACACTTATCCGCCTGTCACATCACCATCTGCAGCTCCTGGGTCTTTTCCACCTGTCACCCTGTCACCTGAAGCCATCCCCTTCCCCACGGTCACAGAAACATGCTGACGCTGCCAACCAGTTGTCACTGACCACACTAGTGCCCACTGGAGCTTCTCAGAGGGAAGCACTCACATTCTTACATGGACTGTCACAGCTTCGATCCACACCCACCCCTGGTGGCCATCTAGTCTGTAGGCAGCCTGGGCCTGTCCCTCTCAGGAGCCTCTGGCAGAGACCAAACCCTTGAGTGGAGCGGGAGGATACTTAGGGCAGCAGTCACTGCTCACCGGCAGCTCGGGCTCCCAGCAAATCCTAGCTCCTTGTCCGAAGCCAGGGCTGTTGAGGAATGGGAGGTCAGGAAGGTGGACCTAGGTTTCTGCACATCTGACCTAAATGGACTGTTGGAGTGGAGATCCCAGTGATGTCCCCACCCCCGGCCTCACTCCCTCACTCCTGGCTGTATGCCCTCACTCCCAACCACACCCCTCTTCAGACACACACACACACACACACACACACACACACACACACATACACACGGATTCCCAGTAAGAACTGCCTCAGGAACTAAGGATAGAGCAAAGAATGACCTTGGGCCCCATTCTCCAAGCTTTCCAGTCATTAAGAGAAGCCCAAGACCATGCCAGGTAATCAAGGTTCACCCAGAATCCAGCCTCCCCCACGCAGGCTCCAGGTTTGGCCAAGTCACACCAGGTGGCAGTCAGGGGTGATACCCGCCTAAATCCACCCCTTCTCTAGACTGTGGAGTGGGGCTGAGAGTATGCAAACTACCCTCCATCCAAGGTGGAGGGGCCATCCTCAGCTCCACCGTCCCCCAAGCTCCACAGGAACATCACCCCACGTCGCTCACCACAGCAAAAGTTAAGATTCTCTGCTGGGGAGGCAGGGAACCAGGTGCCATCTGCGCCCATGGGGAGGCCCTGGCCAGAGTATGGGACACCTCGGGAGGCCCAAAGCAGGAGGCCCGAAGCGCTAGGCACACACCCTCGCCCTCTACAGGCTCCTGGGGAGGGGGGATCAGGGCTTGGTGGGTCAACCTCCCAGAGGGGCGGGGCGGGAAGAGGGGGTGAGGCAAGGATGCTGGCTGCGGAGGGAGGGCGGGGAGAAGGTTCCGAGAGGCATCCCTGGTGGTGCACAGAGGCGATGATCACCCAGGCGGTGACCGGTTCTCCAGCCCGAGCCCAACGGAGCCGCAGCGCTCCGGACCACCCGTGTCCGGTGCACACGTGTGCACGCACCCTGTCTCCGCAGGGGAGGAGAGCGGGTTCCCCTGTCCTTCGGGCTCCCGCACTTACCCAGAAGAGCAGGTTGAAGGCGAACATGAGGTACTTGACGCCCTGAAGGCAGCCGCGCGCCATGCTGCAGCGCTTCAGCTCTAGGAGGAAGATGAAGGAGAGGTCCAGGTAGAAGACCACGTACTTGTTGCCCTTGGGCGTCGTGTAGCGTGCCTGGGCCGCCTTGGGGCCAGGGTTCGCGTGCAGGCCGAAGAAGCTGCCGCCCGGGTCCCCGGCGTCCCCAGCGCCCCCGCGCCCATACAGGCTGCTGCAGCGCCGGAAGGGGCCGCCGCGCGTGAAGCCCGGCTCCTTGCCCTCCGGAGAGGAGCTGCGCCGGTACGTGGACTCATCCGTGCTCGAGCGGCGCATCGCGCAGAGGAGGCCGGGCTCCCGCC